CTGTATGAACAAAAAGACTGATGCCAAGGAACTTAGTGCCATCTATTCATATTTGTTAAACTGCGATGTAATATATTAGTTCAATATATAGAATCAACATTTTATAAAAAAAATATCTCTTCTCCCTACTATTTTCTTCAGCGTAGGATTTTTCAACATCAACCAATTTTGCCTAGTAGTAACTCTTAATTGAAGACTCTGCTGCAAAAAGTTGTTTGTTTTTTTATTTTTCGAAAACAATGCACTCTAGGAAAACAGTGGCGTACTATTTTTATTTGGAAATATAATGCCACTAATCTCCGCCACTGGTGCACATTTATTTTAAGTAAACACTTTTGAATGTGGACAATACTTAGGTAAATCCACATACCAAATTTTAGTTTACTCCAGTTGACGGTTTTGAAGATATTAAAAAAAAATGTTTTTTATATTTTTTTTTTGTTACATAGAAGACTCCTCTGAAAATACGGTCCTATCTATGATGTTTCATTTTTGGTCACGACTTGTGAATCACCCTGTATATGATTGTAGTATTTTAGAAAAAAATGTGTTTGCTATTTCGACGAAATGGCAGTTGAAATCACTTACTGATATGTGTTGTGACCAGTTATTAGAATGGAATTTTGTGTTGTCGTTCATCATATCCCCAATAGTTTTTTGTTTATTACCAGACGCCTTCACGTGTGAATCATTAGCATCCTTTTTATTTTTGTATATTACACCTCGACAGACATTTCTAAATTTCTACTGTCTCATTTCTAATTTCTCATAAGCGTGTTGCAGGGTCCTTAGTCCCACAACTGCGAAGTTTTCGCCCTATCTAATCTGAGGCTTGAACTGGCAAACTATTGTAACGGAAATATCAAAGCGATGGTTGCGTACGCTTTGAATATATAATTGAAAGGAATTTCAAATCAAAGCCCGCATGCTAGGTATTACAGCTACTCTCAGGAAAAGTGGAGCTAATCTCAACTGCATGACTGGTTGCGTGAGTCCTGCGCTTATATCTAATGGAAATTACTAATCAAAGCACTTAGTAAGCCACCATATTGCGTGGTATATCATAGGGCGAAAGGTATCTATATCCCATTCGTAGTCCGTTTACGCCCAGACAAAACACTACATGCCCAAAAGCGATATTGTACAGGTCCGGATTTTTCTCAACGGTCTTGGAATAATCTAACAAAGTAAATGATTATTTTTATAGGAAGAAGTGCACACACTTTTCACAATTATTTATTCGCTAGAAGTACTTGAATCATTGACCGAATGGTTAATATTAATTATTACAAGTTCAATTTGAATATTGATCATGTTGTCCAGATCCCACAACTTTGTTTCGATTGTCTCTTGAACGTGACGGGTGCAATCTTTCCAATGGTTTGCCGTCACGCTGTTGACAGGCTTCATAAAAAAACATTTTTCACGCCGGAAAATTTGCAATGTTTTATTGTTTGGAACCACATAGTTTTTTATATTTGCCCAAGCCATTTTAATGGGATTTAGTTCACCTTACCGTCTTATTTTGGCTTTTAGCCATTTCGTCAATAAAATTAAGATCATATTTATATTTGTGCTGCCTGACTAGATGGATAAGTTCTGCTTTCACCATATTTTCATTGAAACTAATGTCTTTTGATAGAAGCTATTGTTGAATTTCTGCGTTTCTTGTGGTATGCAGCATTAACAAGCACAATGAAGGCAATGTCATCAAGCAAGAGCGTTTCTTCAAACCATCGTTCAAATGAACTCCCGTCCATTTCTTCATGGTAATTGGTACGTTTTCTTTGACTCAAATGCCCATAGGGTAGTGGGCACAAACGCATCTTCACTGCCAATGTGACAGATAATAAATCGTTTAGCTTACCTATAGCTAAGTTTAGTGTAGCTAAGTTTTCAGCGTGATTACGTTTACTTGGCACCATTTTTACAACACAAATAGTCCATCTAAGGAGGCTTATCTTGCGGATTTAATTGTAGAGTTAGCTCATACATTAGGTTTTGTATGTCCTGCATTTATCCAGGTTCCGCAATAAATCTTCCTGCCCTGGTCGCGGTATTTCATTATTGATTCTAAATAATTTCTTCTACATAAAATAATCTCTTGGCTGTCCATCATAGTATTATTTCTGCCCCGTTCTATATACTCAAAATGAAGTTCTTTGAGTAAGCTATAGAATGTGGTCGTTTTGAAAGTAGGTTAGTCTTCAACACTATTAACCTCCTGTAATACTTTGTCTATGGTGGGAAGTTCCAGCCTTTCAAAAAATTGATGAACTTTGCATTCCGATCAAAGTTATCAACTGTGCCCAACACATTCGTGTGATGCAGCCTCTTGTGTGGTGAAGACATTTTTAATTCTTTAACAATGTTGAAAATAGCCTTAGGACATAAGCCTGTTTCGTTCGCCATACGTCTTTCAATATCGTGAATTCTCATTTCGCTCTTATAAACGTTAAGACAATTTCTTTTGCCTGAATATTCTTGTCGCGTTTTCGGGGAGGAGACATCACTGAAAAGGAAGCATGGCTGAAGGAACCATTGGGAGGAATATTCTCAGTTTCATCTGCTGTATCCGTAGACGACACGCTGACGTATAAACACATGCCGGCGATACACCGAGCCAGAGTTCTACCCTGTCGAATCCTGCACTTGTTCGTAGTTTTATGGCCGAATGACCAATAGCTGTTGCAGCGCTTAGACGGCTGCACCGTTGCCGCGCTGCATCTTTGTTGTACCGGGGCATAAATGGACTACGAATAGGGTATAGATCACAGCATATACAGTGCTGCCGTAATTCGCTGTATTCCTCCCTCACGCTATAACATATACCGTGTGTTTCAAATTCGACCCTCAGCACTGGGATTTCGCCTTGTCAATTTAGGTAACTAACAAAATGCCGCTAAGAAAGTTTCAAAATGCAAAAGTAGATACTCCCGGAAAGAGACGGAAAAGACGTATTAATTTTTGCTTGACTTTATTTGTAATATAAATTGCACGTTAACATTACCACTCTTTCCCCTCTACAAGATGGCATAATTGGAATTGCAATATGACGTTTCGACTCTTGTCCTCCAGCAACAACTGATAGCCGGCATATTGCAGACGAATTCCTATTTCAAAAATGTATATATATATATATATATACAATGTGTTTCGTCACGACATACCGATATTTGAGGGGGATATTTTTCAGCTATTTTTATCGACAGATCCACCCTCTACAATGTCATATTAAATTAGGGCTGACACGGATAAGGTCTGCCGATGAACACGACACATTGTTTTAAGAACAACAATGTGCATAACCAATAAAGGAGGACATTTTGAACAGCTTCTGTAACATTAAACATGTCCAAACTCTCTATAAGAAACATTGATTTGTCATTATTATGTATGAAAGGTTTGAAAACAATTTGCATTTTATTACACCCATTTTGACCCATGTTAGATAGCATTTATTCCTTAACGTAGAATACCTAGGATAACAAAAAGCTGTAGAATTAGCCCCAAAAAAGTATAACTTCACAGTCTGGTTTTTGAATGGTGTGCGGAAATGCATAGAATAATCAATTTTCTTCCATATTTTTTGTGTTTTTGTCTGTTTTTAAGTATGTTTGACGGTTAGTCTCAAAACAAGTTTTTCAATAATCGCTAGGACAACATGTCATCGTTCAAATGACACCAAATTTATCATTCTGTGTCAATTACGTACTCAGTTATTACACTTTCCATACATGCACTACCGTATATCGTAACGTAAAAATAAAAATGGCTGCCATTTCAAGGAGGATGAGGTAGGACATTGTAGGGGGGTGGATTTGTCGATAAAAATAGCTGAAAAATACCCCTCTTAAAATCGGTATGTCGTGACCAAATACATTATAAAGGGTGACTTCGAAGTTGAGTCATTTATTTTAACAGTGAGTAGATCTGATCAAAAGAAATGTTTTTTTCCTTTACCATTTTTCTGGTAAAATTAAAGTAACAAAGTTATAGCCCTTTGGAAGTTTGAGTACCGCCCTGTCTCAATAATAATATTATGTGCTCGTGTTTGGCGACAACGGATATAATTCGCCTTATCGGTTCATCGCATCGGAAACAAAAAAGCCAAAGAATTTGGAACGATGTACATATATATATATAGTATTCATAGTTAATTGCCTTAACTGTTAGGAGAAAATATTCTTGATTTCTTTGGATAGAAGGCAAAGTATTGCAAAAGTACACTCTTATAACTGAAACTCAGGCTTTCGAAGACTATGTCTTCATCGTCTGGATCTGGAAACAATTATCAACAATAGCAACAAATAACAATTAGGAGGAAAAATAGTTACTTACTAAGTCGGTGAGATTGTTGCTGAAGTTGTTTTTAAACAACAGTGAAGGGAACACTTAGTCGACGAATAAAAAACTGGACTGGACCTAATCAAACCTCATCAGTCCAGTTTTTATTGGTCGACTATGCACTGTCGTTTAAAAACAATTTTAGCAACAATCTCGCCGATTTAGTAAGTAACTATTTTTCCTCCTAATTGTTATTGGTTGCTATTGTCAATAATTATTTCCAGCTCCAAACGATGAAGACATAGATCTTTGAAAGCTTGAGTTTAAGTTATAAGAGTGTACTTTTGCAATACTTTGCCTCCTACCCAAAGAAATTCAAGGATATATATATATAGACAGAGAGAGAGGGAGAGAGAGAGAAAAGGATCATGCGAAAAAAGGTATATAACAAATTGAAAAATTCCGCAAAAAGAGGAAAAGTGAATTCGAGCAGAAAATAGGATAGGTAACCCGAGCGATATGTATTTCTGCTTGTTGGCTTCATCAGGCCAGAAATGAATACACATATGCAACCACAAAAGTAGATACACATGCCCATACATCCGGATACGGGTGTAACCTGAGGAAAGAAAGACGGAGAAGGAAAAAATTGACACACGAAGTCCACAACAAGAGTCAACTTATATTACAATAAAATAAATATAGATCTCGGATGGTTTTCATAAAATTCTTTATTTATGTATAAAAGTTATAAAACATGAAATATCACAAACTTAACTAAATATAGGAGACGCAAAGCTATGCTTTACGCTTGTCAACAATTCAATACTATCAGTATAGGACTCCTAATCAGTGGAATACGACAGTTTGCAGCACATTTTTTATCGCCAAAACATTTTAAACTCAACAAACGTTTAATAATTTAACAATTTAGCTAGTACTATTTGCAGACAATTGACAAAATGGTAAGAAATTTCGCTTTAAGGTACAAGGTTCCTACAAATGTCACTATTTTCCATCAGTTGCGTGACATGTCACTGTCAACGTCGAACAATATTTACCATAAAAAGTCTGTAGCTGCCATTAATATAAGTTTCACAGTCTCCAGTTGTCTCTATGCCTCCCTATTGGATTTTTCGATTTTTGAAAACAGCGTAAAATGTCCAGCCTAGTGATGTCTCACAATTGCATAAAAGATTGGAGTGTCATCGAAATATCATCACACGTAACGATATGTATTAATATTTTTCTAAGGTGGCCATGATTTATTTGTCAGAAAATAAAATTAATGAGTAAGGCATACAACACATAAACGTCTTGAGTTTTCAATATAATATTAACGTTAATATCGATTTTTCGCTGATATTTTCAGAATGAATAGACTGAAAGCACTAAGTTTCCTCTAATACTTCCCTTTGCTGTAGGTATAACAGGAGTCGAGATCCCTGTATAGACAAGCGAATCTGGGACACACCGTATACAGGGAAAACCAAACTTGTCTGACGGCTTGAGTTCAACAGGTATGAGAGAGAAGTGTGTCATATGTTAGACAGAGATAGAAATGGATAGCAAAGCTCATCACCGCGTTGCACAGCAATGCTGACGCGACACTGCCGCATTGCCAACATGTTAAATCGTCCCTTGAACTAAGATTCATCTTGAAAATATGCGCTAGTTCATTCTCTACGTCCAAATAATGGTTTTATTTTGAGCGTACACATTTTAGAACTGTCTATATACGAATGTGAATCCAGTCTCTCAGCATCACATAATTATGAACCACAATATAGAAAGAAAACACATACTATGATAATCAACTGTCGCGACAAATACCAAAATCTCCACTGTCAGCGTATTTTGAAAATCCTATCCCAACGTTTCCTACATGATAGCAAGCAAAGTGCATTCTAAATAACCAATAATATCTTGTGAGAAATAAAAAACCACGAAAGACCCGCCTACAAGCCGTACACCTAGCAGAGCGTCCATGGAATAAAATATTCTGCAGACGTTAATCGTATTGGTTGACCAATCAGCGTTAAAACATTTTTTGTGGGACTAATTCTGTTTGCTGATAAGAGCGTTCCAACGAGTTTTTTCTGTTTCGCGAGAGAAGTGGGCAGAAATAAACTCTTCGATTTGTATTGGTGGATTTAATGTGTTTCTTATTTATTTGCATTTTGCAGCTATATTTTGCAAACAATACTCGCATCCATTACAAATCAGCCATTTCTGCCGATAAGAGCAGTGGAAAAAATTCGATTTAACTCGTACAGATTTTTATTTCGAGGTAAATATCTTTTGCACCTATTTAGTGTTGCAAAAACACGATTGTTTTTAGAGAGAATATGATTTTTTCGATTAAATCGTATTTTTGATTTCCATCAATTTGTACTGTCTAGCCTTTAATTTGTGCTACTCCATCTATTGATGGTTCTCTGAATATTTCGTCAAGTAGTTCGACTCAATACTTATGACGTTTTATTATACAACAGACATGAACTGACACATCGAAATAAATGAGAAATACGGACTTGTGTGATGCAGATATCTTTAGACAACAGGAGACTTGTGAACCGAAGTTTGAATATTATCGGAGGAGGAGGAGGAAGTATAGAGTCAATCTACTTGACGACATTTTTTCGCAGTGGTTTTGGTGACACAATTTAATCTATCTAGAGAGCGATCTTTTTTATGCCTTACTCATTAATGTTTCTGACAAATAAATCATGGAATCCTTAGAAAAAAAACAATACATAACTTTACGTGTGATGATTTTTTGGTGATACTGCATTCTTTATGCACTCGTGAGACATCACTCTTTTCAAAAATTCAAAAATCCAATATGGCGGCCATAATAAGAAAAATGGAAGTTGAGGCGGGTTGTTGGAAAACTGAGACATGTCCGAATAATGTCACATTTTAACAGCTGTCAAATTAACCGTTTTGGATTTGCTGGCAGAAAACAAATTCCACCATTTTCAGTTTTTCGCTGATATTTTCAAAACCAATGGACCGATCGTGAATACGAAGCCGGCTGTCAAAAGTACTAAGATTCCTCTAAAACTTTCCCCATTTAACCTTTGCTGTAGGTATAACAGGAGCCGAGATCCCTGTATAGAGAAGCAAATCTGGGACACACTGTATACAATAATAAAATATGTTAAGCATTTGTAAGAATTTGATTTAAACATATTCATCTACGCGTAGCTTGTGAGTGTTGTTAGGTGTCACGTATTTTGAGTGAATTCTTTTACAGAGGTAGTTGTCTTTAACTCTCTGATCCATCTTTTCAATTGACTAATAAGAAAGGTCACACATCTCAAGGCCAACAAAATCGAAAGAAAGTGTGGTCGACAATGTAGTCTTTTTAAATGTGTTTTACATTTTCTGAAAAGTTTATTGGTCAGATTGAAGGAGGCGGATTAACATCCTGCAAAATTATAGTATAATATATACGTATATAAATAAGGAAGCCTCATATACAACAAGGCCTCTCTCTTTCAAAATATATTAAATGTATGCCTCATAATTTTGATTTTACCTACCTATATCAACTGTCAGCCCTAAAAGTTTGTGCGTTCGTTACTTCAAGTACTTTCTGATTATGTTTGTGCTGTAAACATGTACCCACATCATAAGAGCTCAAAACTTCTATAACTATATTTCGTTGAAGGTATCACAATACGTATTCATTTGGCACACTCTTTGGTATGTTGGTTAACAACGTAGAGTTTGCCGGGATAGATTCGCGCTTAGCATTGCCCTTTTTCGACTTATTCCTGCAGCAGCGATTCTTAAAATGCTTTCTAAACACTGTAAAATATAGTGTTATGGACAAGAGCAGTATTATGAAGAATGCTATCAAGCCTACGGAAAGCTGGTACATCTTATGTTGTCTTTGGATTTCTTCGATAACGGCGTTACATTGCTTGAACACCTTCAGGTCTTCTTCTGCAATGGTTATGTCAACACACTCTGTAATAGGAATAAATTATGTCAAGAGGACTGACTCGCATTAATTTCAACTATACTACTCGACAAAATTAAGGGAGCAAGAAAAATTCAAAATGTTTCGGTGATTTTTGACTAGCTGACTCAAAAAAATGTTTAGAAGCTTTCAGATTCTAGTTTTCTGGTTTCTTAGCCGAAAAATCTTAGGAGCAACGGGTCCCATTCAAGAAACGTTTTTTTGGAAAACGGTTGCTTCCTTTTTAGTCCACTAGCCAGTTTATTCAACTACAATATCCGTTTTTAAAATGTCGATGGGATCATTTCGCGCGGAGATATCTGACTTTAAATGAAAAAGGATCCAACTCATCGACCACTGATATCTCGGTATCAAGTGATCGCACAGAAAATGTTAGGGTTATTTCCAAAAACTGGAAAAAAGCTCCTATTAGATTTGATTGCAATCTTTGAGGACCAATTTTTTTGTTTGCTGATTTTAAAAAAGTCAAAAAAGTTACTTGCTGTCTGATTTTGGAAAATCGACCACATTTTTGGGATTGCTAATGGACAGGCTAACGTTTTCAGGTTTTATATGCCTCGATGTATCCCTAATAACTCAGTATGACGGCAGATCGATTCATCGTACTGGTCTTCCGAACCGACAAATATCTTTGAAATACTCAAGAAATATTTTCTAGATCCGCCCCTGGTCAGTATTTTTGTTTTTTTAGAAAATCTATGAATACAAGAATAAAATTTTCCGAGTGCTTTTTTAAAATTGAAGGTGTTACACGAATCCGAAAGTGACAACAAAAGAAGAAAAATGATTTTTAACACAGCTTTCTTTATTTATTATTAGCTTGTATCTAACAGAATCTTTGAGCATAATTTTCACCAATTTCCAGAGTTTTGATTAATTTGAAATTTCGCACACGTATCAAGAATTTGATTTCTCTAAGTTAATAGGAAAAACCCATTCAACAGTGAAGCTTTAAATGAAATGATTGATTACGAAATGATTCGTAAGACATTTCAATACGAGAGATGTCTTTTATGTTTTGCATATAGAAACATAGTAGGCCGCGCGGATCGAACGTCAGTACTGAATCTTAACCTCACCATTTAGTAAACTTAAATTCAAAGTTTCACAACAATACGTGCAGTGTTCTCACTACAGTGAATCTTTAAGTGTCATCAAGAACATTTTCACGCCATAATTTATTACAACTTTCAGAGACAATTATCGCAACAAGAATGCCTTGCTGAGTTACTGTCTGTTTTCCACAACGAAGCGCCACATCATTCGACAATTTCCCCTTTTTTATGGAGAATTCAAACGCGGACGGGTGAGTCTTAGCGAGGATCCCAGGGTGGGTGCACCAAAAACGGCAGTCACCCAGGAAAACGTCGATGCTGTGCGCAAACTCATCGTTGAAGATAGACATGTTAAATATCGCGAGATTGAGGCGTCCTTGAAGATCTCAAAGACCTCAATTCAAAAAATTTTACATGAAGAATTAGGAGTAAGAAAATTAGTTTATCGTAGGATACCCCACCTGCTGACTGAAGAGCAAAAAGCAGCGAGGGTTAATTGGTGTCAAAAAACACTTGACCGTTTCAATTCCGGAAACTCAAAAAGTGTGTACAGCATTGTTAATGGTGATGAATCGTGGATTTACTGTTATGAACCAGAAAATAAACGACAGTCGGCTGTTTGGGTGTTCTAAGGTGAAGAAAAGCCAACAAAAGTCATCCGTTCTCGAAGTGTTTCGAAAAAGATGGTCGCGACATTTGTGTCAAAAGCGGGTCATATTGCAACAATTCCTCTTAGTGAGCAAAGAACTGTTACTGCGGATTGGTATACCACCATTTGTTTGCCAAAAGTCATCACCGAGCTTCGAAAAACCAACCCCGAAAGAAGAATCGTCCTCCACCAAGACAACGCAAGCTCGCACACATCCCAAAAAACAAGGCAGTATTTAACGGAAGAAAACGTGGAATTATTGGACCATCCTCCATACAGTCCCGATCTAAGTCCTAATGATTTCTTTACTTTCCAGAAAATTAAAAACAGACTGCATGGTCAAAGGTTCCAGTCACCAGAAGAAGCAATTGACGCATTCAAAAATACCGTTTTGGATCTGCCAGCAAACGAGTGGAATAAGTGCTTCGAACATTGGTTCGAGCGCATGCAGATGTGTATTAATCTTCGTGTAGAATACTTCGAAAAACATTGTTGTTTTATTTCCATATGCAAAACTTAAAAGAGATCCCTCGTACCACATGGCCACATGAAACTAATTCATAAATCGAACTAAACAAGGCAAAAAACTTGAAAATTCGAATTCTGAAGCTTCAAAATGCTTTTTTAGAGTCTACACTCGGCCATTTTTCACTGAATCGCAGCCTGTCAAAAATCACCGTAAAAGATATAGCATGAAAGGTTTTAATGATGGTCGTCTCCTAATAATGTCTGAATGCGTGAGACATTTTAACATCCCGACACGACATCTTCTAGAATAGATGCGATTTTCAGAATTCATCTTTTTAAAAAGTTAAAGATATTAGTGAACTTATGAGAAATTCAATTGCTGAATATCCAATCAAACATTAAACACATTTTCTTGTTTAATCAATTACGGTCGAAAATAGAGGGTGTTCCAAAAAAAGACGGAGATATTCCAGAGGATGATTCCTTGTTAAACAATATGAAAAGAAGTTTCTATAAGCAATATTATTTGTTGTATTAGGAAGCTAAATAGATCAGATTGTTAAGTCCAGTGGTATCTCGGGGGGCACCCTAGTTAATATTGTTGGCAGAAAACGTTACTATAAGCACGTGCATACATTACATGCATGTCTGCCATTTCCTCAAAAGTGTAATTTTCCATCACAAAAACCTAGACAAAAACTTTTAGAGAAATTTCGCATTTTCTAGAAGAAATGTTAAACCTCCATGCAAAAGTAATTTTTTTGTTTTCCAATTCACGTGTGATTTTGTTAGCAAAAATTTATAAACCAATTGTGTCCAGTGACATACAATAAAACAACTTTTATTTTTTTCTCGAAAACGAAGTGTGATACGAAAAAAATCCACAGGGCAAAAAAATTGCATTTTTAGATGCTAAATCAAACAACAAATATTAAAGTTACAAAAAAGACACTGGCGTACATTTTTTCCTAGTAACATTCGCGCGCCCCCCGGGAAGCCACTGGACCTAATAATTTAAATCTATTGAGACCTAAATTAGCCTCTTAATGCAACAAATAATATTCTTAAATTTCAACAGAATCGAGTAGATATTTTAAGATTATATTTTTTTCAATTTATCTCTCTGCATTCCCAAACCCATGTTTAAAAAACCTTTTTTCACATTTTTAACAAGGAATCACCTTCTAAAATATCTCCTTCTATTTTTCAAACACACTGTATATTCAATTCATTTTGAACACTTTTCCAAGCTCAATATAATGTTAATGCAGTTTCATTATTTTAAACCATGCAAAAGAACAAGCTGTTGAAGTTTTCAGATATCTGTATTTTTTAAACGCCATCGTCTCAATCATTTAAACGTCACGATTTATTGCGAGCATTCTATTCTAACTCATTAATTGACCGACAGATGAGGATACGTCGTTTATATATTAGAAAAATGTGTTCTCTGTAGGTGAATGTAGATCTCGATTTAGGCATGAGGAAGCTGTCCGCGCGTTGGGTGCCGCGTTGGCTCACGGTAGACCAAAATCGTGTTCGAATGAATCCAGGAATTACGGTTTGAACTGCTTGACCATCCGCCTTACTCACCAGACTTACCCCAAACAACTTCTTTTTGTTCCATCATCTAAAAATTGCGCTCGGAGGACAGAGATTTTCTTTTCATGAAGAGGAAATCACCTTGCAGTGACAAAGCGAGTACCATTTGTACGGGTTACAGAGATGGGAGCAAGTGTGTATAGTTACAATTAAACTATAATGGACAATTAAAAAAATCAGAAAAAATGTCTTGTATCTTTGTCAGGTCGAAAACTTTCCAGACCACCCTCGTAGAATCAATCAAGCAATTTTTCTCAATCGTCTACTCAGTCACATTTCTGCAATGATACCAGAATGCTTAACGGGGCTCCTACAATCACGAGCAGCATCTGCTGAGGTAACGGGAGGGTGAAAAGGAAACGAGGGTAGGCTGGCCCTAGACGGTCGTCGGCGCTACTTAAAAAGAGGAAAGGATGACTGCGGGTGCATACCAAGGTAAATTCTTATAATAACAGAGTCGGATTTCGATTAGCGATATAGAATGTAAGTCATTTCTTATTTTGGTACTCAGCAAGTGATCATTTAGTATTTTTCTCCCCTTGTTACTGTTCATCGATATTGTGTTGAATTGTTGTTGGTGTGATTGTTCTTGAGTGCCTTTTTTTTTATCGAGGCTGATAATGGACAATAAAGGGTCATATGCGACCATTTTAATTACGAATGCAGTGAGTTTAATTCATGATGGGGTCAGCAATAGTGTCGAGCAGTTCAACTCTATAATCGCAAAATACGTTGGGGTAAGCGAATAAATTATTGCAAGAGGTCATACCATGGAAGATGTGCTGCAGCTGTAGTGAGCCACAATACTCAGCGGCCTGTATATGTGGTCTAAATACATTTGCGTTCTAAGCTTAGTCCAACCTAGCTTATCGCTAAGATGGAACAAAGACTCAAACGCAAGAATCTTGAAAAGAAACTCAGACCAAAAAAAGCTGATATAACATATATAACAACTCGGATAGCAATTCCAAAGAAAATGAATAGTTTTATGCCGAATTGAATCAAAAAGCTAATATTAACTACACTGATTAGGAGAATGCTAAGCGAAAATTTTTAGGGAAACTTAAAAAAAGTGACGACGAGATTTTGCAGACAGAACAGGTCACCAAATCACCGGACTGTACTTTGTCGCGCCTTCATCGAAAGATAAGGTTGACAACGTCTCGATTTGGTGAAGTTTGTAGAAGAAGGCAGACAACAAGCTGTAATGTTCTAGTAAACTCTCACCTTCCCCCAACCCCCACTTTTCAAGCAGTACAATTTTTTTCTGTCAATGATAAGGAACCCTTGTAACGTCAAAAACGGAGTTTCAGCAATTGTTACTTTTCTTTTTTGCCTATAGCACCGTTGCCACTGGACTAAAACTACAAAGCTTTGGCATATTAGTAACCCCGTGTGGAAATTTCATAAAAATCCGAGTTGTTATTTCCATGTTGATAAGAGATACAGTTTTTCGTGATGTGATGTCATATGACTTAAAAAAACATAACATCTCATTTTAGAAATTTTTCACGATTACAATACTTCCTCGCCAATGACGTGGGAAGTAAAACGGCTTTAAAATCGAGGAGGATCAGCGATCGCGATTATGAGTACCTATTTGCAGAACGACTTATCTACGCGATATTATATGAAATAGGGCCACCAAATTATCTGAATACGTCCTTTCTTAGTCCGTACATTGCGCCGCAACGCTTGGGTTGGCAGCACGAAACAGTAGACAAAATTCGTCCAAAATAGGATTTTTAGAGGGTTGGGCGCTTCAAAATTGAGACTTTATTTTTTGATATTTTTCGATGAAATTTTCACAGAGTACTGAAAACAAAACCCCACAGGGTGCTATAGAGCTACTTTTTAATTTTTTTCACTAGGTTCTTTTTAAAAAAATCGCGAAGTTGAACAGAAAAAGTGCGCACTTCAACCCATCATAAAACTTGTGCAAAAACAAAATTTCAAAAAGTGCTCCTATAACACCCTGGGCAATTGTCTTTTCAACATACTGTATGAATTTCATTCAAAAATATTGAAAAATGGAGTGACAGTTTTGAAGCACCCTTGTAAATGGCTTGAAACTCACTGCGTCGGAGCCACCTTAAGGCGTTTACTTTGCCCGGGTATACCCTACGTAACGAGAAAAAGCGGTAGCATGCCATACATGTTTTAAGACTTAAAATGTTTATGTTTATTCATATGACATCACTTACTGTTTCTCGATCCACTGCAATGGAAAGGTGTAAACCTAACTTCCATGTCCATTAACCACTTATTGACGGTCCAACAGTCACAAACGGTATCAAAATCAATTGTCACATTATCTGTAACCAACTTTTGCAATCTGCACAATCCGACGAAATGCTTTGGCTTTACAGAATAATACTGATTTCCTGATATGTTCAAAGATGCCAAAAAAGGCATTGGTCCAAAATCTGGAAACTCAACCACGTCGTCCTTTGGAGTTGTGTAGCTGATGTCTACTTGGGTCAAAGGACTGTTGATGGGTTTTACTCCTTCTAGAGCATCTAAAAAACAAATCAAACTAATTCATATCCAAGGCTAAAAATGATAATATTCAACTAGGTTTAATTCAGCGAGAAAAATACAGAATATTCTTAAAGTTGGTCCTTTCCTTTATACAACATCGTATATTATCTTTGTTATTTCAGACGTAGTTGTTTCTCGAAAGGAAAGTTCCAGCTTTCCCAACACCCTGTAAAAGCCTCTAGCCATACCTATGATGTTGATGTTGCGATTCTGGCTCAAGTAAAGAGTCTTCAAAGAGGGCAACTGGAAGACAGTGGCAGGAATATTCCTCAGAGCGTTAATGGATATGTCCAAAGTCATCAGTTCGTCCATGTCACTGAATACGTCATCATCAAGCTCTGTGATTAGGTTGTCTTGTAAGTACAGGAACTTCAGGTAGCTGAACTTGCTCAGGTCATCTCTCGTGATTGTCCTGATCCGGTTGTAAGTAAGTTCAAGGACCTGGAGCCAAAGAGATTATTAGCCTCAGTACCCTAACGTAGTTGTGCTTTTATTTCTACAAGGTGATTTAAAGGTATCAGACAACCAAATTGCCATGGATGTTGTTGCTCGATAGCGATTGTTTGGTACCTGTTGTCACTTTAATATGAATCCTTCTTTTCTGACACATAAAAAGTTGCTGAAAATTGTTCCATAACTAGTTTTAATAAATGAAAATTGCGACGAATAAAACAGAAGTTCGAAGTTGTTACTGTATGAGTACAAACTTGGGACAAATAGTGTCTTATTGTTTCTCAGTACAAATTTCTATTTTTCTACTTAAAACTGCACGAACTTATTTGGTTACCTGATATTTTACAGGGATCAGCAGCCCCAGAAGGCTAACGTATGCCCTAAAGGTTTTGGCACAAAAATCATTGACTTTAATTTGAATAAACACAAAATAATATCAAGTTGCCTTTGGAAACAAAAGTTTGCTTACGTACTTCACCGGCAGTTGACATTTATTTATTTTTAAGTTTTCGCTTTAAGATGTATAAATTAGAAATAAGAAGTATCTACAAGTTCTGTCGAATATTCCAGGATAAAAATATGTCAGGCAGAACCATTTATCGGACAATAGCTGAGTCCCAGCAGGGAATACAATGTCTGAATCTTCCAAAAAGTGGAAGACTACGGGAATTTACTGCACAGAGGTCAGAGAGATGGTGAGAAGGGCAAGGAATCAGGTTGGAATGCCATAATGTCAACAAGGAGACTGATTTGTCAATGAGAAATGGTCTTAAATATCGAAAGAGACTCAAGTCCCCCAAATAGAATTATTAAATAATACCTTTGATAAAGAAAATAGTTCCTTCAGCTGCCCCAAAATAGTTAGAAGTCGTTAGAATTTTGATTTTGGGTTTTTTGATTTTATACCAACAACTATTGATTGGGATATTTTTTTTTCTTTTAGTGACTTTAATAACATGGTAGCTCTTTTAGCTGAGGAGTTGGTTCATGTATATGATATTTGTTGTCATATCCATAAATATAGGGTAACCAGAACCAATCCACCATGGATAACCGATAACATCAAGCTCCTAATCAAATTAAAGGACAAAGCTTTTAAGAAATTTAAAAAACTGGTCAACCAGCACATTGGGCCTATTACAAGGAATTGAGGAATTACACGAAAAATGCTATGAATCGTGAAAAAAAGGCATTTATAGGTTATTCGCTTGGTGTCATAAAAACATTAATAACGCTATTCCACAATATTTGAATAAGTTCGATGAAATCAACACATACTTCTCGAACCTCCTTAAAGTACACAAAACTTAATTTCAAGTAATTTTATTTCATAAATATAATATTGGGCCTTTTAATACCCTGATGAATCCTTTGAATTTCGTTCAATAACTACAGCTGAAATATATACTTGTATCAAAGCTATCAAAACAGCAGCTGGTCATGACACTATATCACGAAAAATGCTACTGTTATTAGAGAACCGCTTACTAAATCATATCACATATACAGGGTGGCGCATCGAAAACGAAACAGACGCATTTACTGGCAGCTCAGATTTTTTTGAAAAACGCTCAGACCCGTCGATTTTGTTTTCGAGGGGGACACAAGTTTGGCAAAAAATCACGTTAGCACGTGCAGCTCCCTAAGCGGGGGCGACACCACCCCCAAAATCTTAAATGGAAAGGGGATCGAGTGATACCTTATTTTAAAGGTCTTTCAATTCCCTTTATAATGATATAAAACTAATGTACTTCAGTTCAGTAGTTTTCAAGATTTATTGATTTAAAGCTTAAATAAAACTAATACCTCATCATTAGTGGAGATCAATACATTTGGCAGCAAAGTAATTTAAAAATGAAGAATGAACTGACCCGTTAGGCAAGTAAATGTTGAAAATGGAAACCATGACTCTCCATGCACTAATAAAGATTTTGGTCAAAACGTTGCCGCACATTTTGCAATATTTGAGGTGTAATTTGAAGGCACTCATTAACAATTCTTTGTCGCAGGTCTTCCAATGATGTTAGCTGAGTAGCATAGATTTTTCTTTTTAAATGACCCCACATAAAGAAATCCAAAGGTGATAAATCTGGCGATCTTGGGGGCCATCCAATGGCACCTCTTCTACCAATCCATCGATCTGGAAACGTCTGATCTAAATAATGTCGAACACGTAATGCGTAATGTGGTGGGGCACGATCCTGTTGGAACATGAACCTATTCTGATTTTCAATTATGGCTGTTAATGCAGGATCTATAGCGTCTTCCAGTAATTTCAAATACATTTCACCATTTCACCGGTCAAATTTCCAGGTAAGAAAAAAGGACCAACTAAATGATCGCCAAAAATACCAGCCCAAACATTTAATTTTTGTCGCTGCTGTGTATGAACCCCATGATAAATTCTGTGATTAGAATAGGAACAATATCGGCAGTTATGACGATTGACTACGCCATTTAAGAAACAGGAAGATTCGTCGGAAAAGCAAGTGTTGAATAGAAAATGTTCATCGTTTATAATTCGTTCACTCATATCTTCACAAAATTGTAATCGCCGATCAAAATCGTCTTCATTAAGTTCTTGTACCAGGTGAATTTTATACGGATGAAAACTATGGGCCTTTAGATTCCGTTGGACAGTACGTCGACTAACACCACACACAGTCTCCAATTTGCGGGTACTTAACGTAGGATCTACATAAACTTGCCCTAAAACCCCCACTTCTATTGCTTCGTTCCTTATGGGATGTTGCGTTTTTTTATTGGCGACTGACCCAGTTTCCCGAAATTTGGCTAGAAGTTCTATTAGCGCACTGATTATTTCCGAAAAATATTTCGATAATTTCAACCCTTTCTGCTGTGGAATATACCATGGTTAATTTATGTAATACAGCGCTACAAGTTATTTTATCAACAAAGTTTGGTCAAATCAATCGCAAACTATGTACTAAATTCCTATTTAAAATAAGTACGAGATATTTCCTTATGTTTCTTCAAGAAATAACTTTTTTGCCACAAAGAAACGCTCCAATAGCTATTTTCAACAACAAAATGATAAAGAAACCATGGGCGTAGTGAAGAAAAGCATTTACTTATTAAGTAAATTCTTTTAGTCAAATTTCTTCTGAAAGCAGTACAAACTAATCTGATGTACCTATTAAAATCTACTCTAAGCTTTAAATCAATAAATCTTCAAAACTATTGAACTGAAGTACATTAATTTTATATAATTATAAAGGGAATTGAACGACCTTTAAAATAAGGTATCACTCGACCCCCCTTTCCATTTAAGATTTGATGGTTGGTGTCACCCCCGCCCAGGGTGCTGCACGTATTAACGTGATTTTTTGCCAAACTTGTGTCCCCCTCGAAAACAAAATCGACGGGTCTGAGCGTTTCTCCAAAAAAAAAACCAGTAAATGCGTCTGTTTCGTTTTCGATGCGCCACCCTGTACAATAAATTGCTGTCTTACTTCGTGTGTATTTCCGGATATGTGGAAAATGTATAAAGCAATACCTATACCTAAAATATCAAATCCGAATCAATTATCTGACTTAAGACCAATCAGTATTTTACCAATATTATCAAAAGTCTTAGAAAAGATAACTTACAAAAAGTTTTCTGATAGAAAGATAATCAATATGTAACAATTTATTTGAACGATTCTAATAAATCACCGATAACAATGGGAGTACCTCAAGGGTCAATTCTCAGTCCTTTATTATTATCTCTTTATATTTCAGACTTTTCTAACAATATAAGATACTGCAATGTTCATCACTACGCAGACGACACACAATTATATTACGGTTTTCATCTCAATGATGCATCTTTTTCCTTTGATTTGATCAACAATAATCTACATGCCATGTAAAACATTTCAGCTGCTCATAATTTAACACTAAATGCTTCTATATCAAAAGTTATGATATTTGGACCAAAGCAGAAACGAATCATAATAGAATATGAAAATCTATATCGGCTTAACATCAACAGCATTCCTTTACCAGTTGTATCTGTAAGCAAAAATCTGGGTTTATGGTTGGATAATGAACTAAAATTTGACCACCATATAAAGAAGTTATGTTCAAAATCTTATGGTGTCCTCAAACAATTATATCCTCAAAGACATTTACTAAATAGTAAATTAAAATTACAGCTCTGAGATTCACTAATCATTTACCCCTATAGACATTACCTATCACAAAATACTAAAGCCACGCTCTGCGAAGCTTTAGTGTTGTCCCACTTCAACTTTGCTGATATGGTATATGGCCCATTTCTTGATAGTCTGGAACTAAAACGGGTTCAAAAAGCTCAGAATTCTTGTCTGAGACTGATATTTGGCATAAGGTAGACAAAGAGTATACAATAAAGAATCATTTAAGAAATCATTCTCATATCAAATTGCCTTTTTGGTAAATAAACTCGGTAGCTTCATTTAAGAGGAACCTTAAAAGTGATTTACTGTCTCAGATATCATAGAAAATACATCTCCTGCTCCCCCTTTTCTCTTCTTCTCTTTTCCCTCGCTTTCTCTTCTCACTCTAAATTTCCATTTCTCTACTTACTATACTTCTATATTTCTTAAGATTATTTATTATCAATGTCTTAATAGCCATTTGTCTTAGTATAGAATTGATTAAATTTGTTTGTTTTTTTTTTGGCTCTAGCAGCTGCTTCTTTAAGGGGCAACCTGGTGTGGCCCTTTATCCTCTTAAGGCTTTTTTTTGTTTGTAAACTTTGATTATACTGTTTAATGAGGGTAATAAATATTATTATTATTATTATTATTACTATTATTATTATTTCAAGGATATCTTATTGAAACGGAGTATACGTACCCGCTTCATTGCAAAGAGGTAAGACCAAGCTGCAGCGACTCCAAAATTCTTGTTTCCGTTGTTGCCTTGGCATTAGAAAATACGACCATAGCAGTTATGTTTATAAGGAAAACGGAAAATCAAATTTAGAAAATCTATCATTCACTATCTTTAGTCCATAAGACGTTAATGAGTAAGAAACCAGAGTACCTTCTCAATAAGCTACAAAAATTTGAAGATGTTAACAACTTAGCAACAAGATATAGTCAATCCCTAATTACACCCCGCCACTGAACATCGTTACACAAGAAAAGTTTTTCATACATTGCGGCCAAACACTACAACAATCTACCAACTGAGTATCGATATTACAGTCTAATAAATTTTAAGAAAAAATTAAAAGCAATGCTTCTATCCACCTCCTCTACCTGATGATAATGAGATCGATTTTAAAAATTCAACAAGAATAAAACTGACTATGATTTTTCGAGTCATATCATATGAACGTCATGATTTTATATTAAATGAATTAAAATTTAAACATGTATACTTATACAGACTTAAACATTTTTAGGCAATTATCACAAATCACATGTATGGTATTCATTACCTTAATACACTTTTCTTATTCATGTTTGTAAATTTTATTTTATTGCTGAGTTGAATAATACCTTAAGGTAACACTCCGCCATTTCGATTCTTTAATTTCACCTTACCCAAAATATGTATTTGTGAAAGAATCGAATAAAGGCATTATTGTTATAATTATGATTTATTGAATTTTCTCTATCCTTTTTCCCTCGCTTGATGGGTGAAAAGTGAGAGATACCATATTCCTGGGCTAATCAAATGCTTGTTTATGTAACAGATTTAGGCCCTTCTTTAAAATAACAAATAAAACCGGGTTTGACCGGATGCGGAAATGGACATTTAATAGACAAACGTGTCCTCTGGGAACCAATTATCGTATATCGCATTGTATACACCAAATACGCATATATATGCTCCGGCACTCCGCCTGAAAACTAGAATCAAGTCGACTGACTCAGTTTTCATTGGAATAACTGTACATTTATTTATACTACGGTCACAGTACTGGGCCCCTTGTAATTCTCCCCTAGGGGTTACTCAAAGATCAATCAGCAGCTACCCTAAACTATCGAAGAAGGACCTAGCGCCACAAAATGCTAACGTTCTAACAATTTTGTTCCCCCCACCCATTAGATATAGATATGTTCTAGATGCTTGGAAAGTTTTATTGAGCAAACCATTAGCTAAAGTTAACACAGTCACATACCACTCTGATCTAAGACATAAAGGAACTTTACTGTCATTAACCTAGGTACAGCAGTATCGCTACTCACCTCTATATCAGTAGGCAAACACTTAGGAAACTCCTTGAACTCTTTCCTGAAGCAATCTGCAGCCTTCATTCTATGGGTGTAGCTGATCCTACATCTCACCTCTCTGCGACAGTCCACTGTAGAGCTCCAGGGGGTCTGAACGTTCATGGCCATCACCAAAACCAAACATATGAGCTTGCCTTCCATTTGGGAACGCCCTCACAACTGAAAGTTGCACCCGGTATTCACTTTCTTACATGTTTATGTATATGACGATATCACAATCTTAACTGATGAGTTGTTACGTTTCTCGTGGCTATGAGTACAATAATTGTAATTGTTTGATAAAATTATGATAAGATTTGTTTTCTTCGATTAGACCGTATCTAAATCTGCTTTAATTTTTAGTGCGGAGAAATTATGTAAAAGTTGTAAATCGTCACATGAGAGAAGAAATAATGTATGTCAAAAATACAACTTTATAATTAAATTTATTCGAAATTATCCCAATGACCTAAAAGATTGATTCATTTTCAAAGGCTTGTAAATTTTGCTTACCGAACTCGTAGAGGGAGAATAGGGGCATATGATACTTTACTGTTTCAAAAGCATCATAAGTTAAAAATATGTAGAAGAAAATTAGCCTTCTTTTTTTTTGGTTTTGTTTGTGCGGCAAAGTTACGTCTGAACGATCATGTCCAATGTTTTCCGACGAAACTATAGCCAAGGTAATGTAACATCTGAAACTTATCCTCTGGTTTTCAAGTCGATGGAACTCAATTGTCTTGGCGCAATTTCAAACCACATATGCTTCAATTACTGTTTATTGTACGGCGTTTCAGCCACCACGGTGATTTATTTTCAAATACTCAGTTTCGTTATCCTTCAGGCACTTCAATAGAATTTGCCATTAATGACTATTAATTTTATTGACCACGGTCTGGAGAAGGGCATGGCATGTTTCTATGACCTGACGAAGACTGTGTCCAGCATTCAATTTTGTTAGAAAAACTGTCCATACATGAATTTAAATAAATAGCTACCAGAAGTCGTCATCCAAAACAGAAGTTGTCAAGCATGGAGTACCACAAGGAACACTTCTAGGGCCCATTCTCTTTTTAATATACATCAATGACCTACCGACAAAAAATCATACTTTTTGTTGATGACACCACAAACAGAATATGCTACATTGGTTCATGGCTAACAGGTCATCTCTTAACTCCACAAAATCTCAGTTGCACTTAGATTCAAAATTGACTTTGAAAGCTCAATCAATACAATTTCAGTATTAATATATCTGTTCCGGAGCTTGGAAAACTACGAAGCTGAAAGAGCGTGTCATGAATATTTTAAATCCAAGATTCATTATTGTATATTATTGTGGGGCCATTCATCACATGCAACAAAAGTGTTCACCGTTCAAAGGCGATGTTTGAGAGTTATAGGGGATGCATTTCAGAAATTGTTGTAAGCAGGCGTTTATCAATTTTAGGATAGTAACTTTATGTATACTGGGATGTTTGATAACTATTAGCCAAAACTATAATAATTTTAATACCTTGAAGCTTACGCACAAATACAATACCAGATTGAACAACTACATCATTCCAGATTATACTAGCCTCTCTAAGACTAGATGTAGTAGTAACTAATGTCTTTCCCAAGTTTAGTAGAAATCTTGACAATAGGACTGTTGAGAAGACTGTAAAAACGTACCTACTAACCAAAACTATTCATAGGTTTGATTAGTTTTTAGAAATAATTTTAGTGACTTGCCATAAGTGACCATTTATTTCGTTATTCAGTGTTTTGTTCTGTACCTTCACTGATTTTTAGTTATTTTTTCCATTTGTAATTTAATCTCTATTTATTACTTTGAAGTTTGTCTTATAACTTAATCTTTTACATGTTTGTTGTGATTTTCTTACCTATGTAGTGTTTGTTTTTAACAAGTATTGTTATTTATTTTAAGCTGCCGTTTGTGAAGGCACATTTTGTGCATGATGACACGAATAAACTAGTTCTACTACTACTACCACAATTTCAAGATGGCACCGCGTAAAACGATTATCACCTAGAGCAGTCACTTCCGCTCTCAAACAACGTCCACCCTTCCAAAGCGACAAGGAAGCATGAGGTTATCTGTCATTTTTGTTAATGTATCAGATGCGTCATTTATACAATTTTGCGTGGAAATAACACAGGTCCACAACAAATAAAAAAGCGGTATTTACTAGGGGTCTTACTATATTTTTGCCATGTAGTTCTTTCCGCTACACACGAATCTGAAATCAAAATTGGAGGTGGATGGACAATTACTATGAAAGTAATTTAGACACAGACCTCTTGATTTGTGATTTTAAAGCCTAAATTACTTTCATATTTGCCCAAAGAACTACAATTCTGGCTTCAGCGGGAATAAATGGATGAGATATATATAATGGGGCCCCCCAGCACAGTCCACTTTTTTTTGTGGGCCTGGGTAATCCTTTTGTTTAAACCTAACTTTTTCTGGGACTTATTCAAAAACATCTCGATCGTAGCTCCCTCTTTCGGGACCTTTGTTAATTGAAGGAGAAAATATTACTGGTCAGGCGTGACCATACGGAGACATTTCACACAATAAATGATCCTTCTTTAGCCCTTCCTCAATAATTGACGAATGGTTATTATAAATTAGTCTCAATAAATAACTAACAGAAGTTCCCATCTATCCGCCATACCCCAGTTTATGTTTTTCGTTAAAGTATTCAATTTATATACAAAAAAAATCGCTAAAACACTGCGATATCTCTAGCAAGGTCAAGTAAACATTACAGAAACAGTAATTTACAATAATTCTTATCACAATCTTAATACTTACGATATTTGTTAAAAAAGAACGTGCACAATTTCAAACGGATATGATGTGAGTGCACCCAAGGTACCTAGAAAGTTCTGTACACCCCTACTACAAAAGAATCACGTGATCAAAAAGAGTTTGTCACCTCCCCCCTCTTGCATTTTTTTATTCTACCTCATCAGCTAATTCATTAATTGTTCTTTTAAATGGCAATAACGTTATCAATAACTGATTCACCAAAGGTGGTGAGTTACTAGTGCGGTTCAACTAGGAATAAAACGACAATCATCGAATCTTATCATTTAGGCTGAATGCATATAAAAAGACTCACAAAAGCCTCAAAGCTTCATCCAGCTTGGTTTTTGTATGTGCTCTAAGTTACAAAGATGTTCCATATTTAACTTTGCCCCTTTCAACAGCTATGTTATTTTTTTTAATACCTTCCTATATGAAATTAAAATACAGCTTTGTTTTGCTTTCTAATACATCAATAATTATTTTTATTGATGACCGTCATATTTTAACAAATTATGCCTAGAAGACTATCTAAATCAGGGAGACATGGTATCTTCCCCTACTTCTTTTGAAATTCCAATCCGTTTTCTCTTCAATTCATCTTTCTCCAACATTCAGCAGTAGCCTGCCAATAATTCTGAGTCTCACCTTCCGTCGTATAACTAACTTAGCGTAAGCGAGAAAGACGTGCACATGAAAATGCGAAAAATGTAATTTTGCACTCATATTGGCCGACCCAGTTCACGGAAATTGCTGAGCATATTGTTAGCTATATTTTCATAATCTGTTAGCGACTTGCATCGTTCCACATGTCAAGGCTAACAGAAAGGCCTTATCAGATATTTCCTTGCGGTGAATGCTGGGGAGTGGTTCTTGCCGAATTTTTGGGGGAAAATTCGAACACTTTTTTTATGTTTATCCACTAAAATAAGTCAATTTCACTCGAAACGTCCAATCTCAAACCCCTGGTCCCTTTTCGACTTCAAACTTATACGAGGGATGTCTTTTAAGTTTTGCATATGGAAATAAAACAACACGGTAGGTGGTTTTAAATGACTTTATTGTTTTTCGAAGTGTTCTCCACGAAGATTAATACACATCTGCACGCGCTCCAACCAATTTTCGAAGTGCTTATTTCACTCGTTTGCTGGCAGATCCAAAACGGCATTTGAATGCGTCATCTGCTTCTTCTGGTGACTGGAACATTTGACCACGCAGTCTGTTTTTAATTTTCGGGATAGTAGAGAAATCGTTAGGACTTAGATCGGGACTATATGGAGGATGGTCCAAAAATTCCACATTTTCTTCCGTTAAATACTGCCCTGTCCTTTGGGCTATGTGCGAGCTTGCATTGTCTTGGTGGAGGATGATTCTTCTTTCGGGGTTGATTTTTTGAAGCTCGGTGATGACTTTTGGCAAACAAATGGTGGTATACCAATCCGCAGTAACAGTTCTTTGATCATTAAGAAGAATTTTTGCAATATGGTCCGCTTTTGACCCAAATGTCGCGACCATCTTTTTCGAAACACTTCGAGAGCGGATGACTTTTGTTGGCTTTTCCTCACCTTGGAACACCCAAACAGCCGACTGTCGTTTATTTTCTGGTTCATAACAGTAAATCCACGATTCATCATCACTAATAATGCTGTACACATTTTTTGAGTTTCCGGAATTGAAACGGTCAAGCGCTTTGTGACACCAATTAACCCTGGCTGCTTTCTGCTCTTCAGTCAACAGGTGGCGTATCCAACGAGAAGCTAATTTTCTTACTCCTTCCATATAAAATTCTTTGAATTGAGGTCTTTGAGATCTTCAAGGAAGCCGCAATCTCGCGATATGTCACATGTCTATCTTCAATGATGAGTTTGCGCACAGCATCGACGGTTTCCTGGGTGACTGCCGTTTTTGGTGCACCCACCCTGGGATCGTCGCTAAGACTCACGCGTCCACGTTTGAATTCTCCATACCAACGGGAAATTGTCGACTGATGTGGCGCTTCGTTGCCGAAAACAGACAGTAACTCAGCAAGGCATTCTTGTTGCGATAATTGTCTCTGAAATAAATTATGGGGCGAAAATGTTCTCGGTTTAGTTCCATTTTTCTAATGACTGGTGACACTTAAAAATTCACTGTAGTGAGAACACGGCACGTATTGTTGTGAAACTTTGATTTTAAGTTGACTAAAGAGTGAGGTTAAGATTCAGTACTGACGTTCGATCCGCGCGGCCTACTATGTTTCTATATGCAAAACTTAAAAGACATCCCTCGTATTTGCTTGATAAACAGCTACACTAACTCATTATTAAGTGACAATTCACTCTTTATTTTTCACGTTTGGATTGTTTAGGTATTCCTCAAGAATGAA